GTAATAAACAAATATTGCATACTTTAAAATAAAAAAGTTAGATTAATGTTATATTATATAATGCATTTTATATACATTAAAATAAAAACTTTGACTTGACTTATCAATATCATATAATTCGATACAGCTGTAATAATGGAATAATAATAATGGTCAAGTAATATGAAATATTTTGTGATAGGTAATATTAGGTAAATTGATAACATCGAAAATATTTAGTTTTAATTAACTTCATGCATCAACACATTAGATAATATTTGATTATAGATAAATAAAAATATTTAGATATCAATATGCAGAAAGTATATATAAACATTTATAAAAATAATCATAATTTAATATAAATATACCTCAGTTTCATAAATTAATCACATAATATTCTTTCTTCTCTTACTAAAACTTTAAAAAATGTCACAAAATAACATTCCAATTAATGTTTCTATACTTACTTCAGAGGAACGCCGTCAACTTTTTCTTGCATTATTTGATGCAGACCCATCACTACCTAATGTGTTAAATTCTGAACAGCGACATTGTCTGTATTCTGTATTAATTGCTATTGATTCTTCTTTGCTTCCATATGCAAATAATGTTATATGCTGTATTACTAATGAACAGGTAATTTATGTATATCTCAAGAATAAATTGGCATTAATATTAAATGCAACTATTGTTATTCGTATGCAGTTTCCAATAGGTTCAACAATGAACCCAATTAAGCTTAAGGAATATGAGGATTTTAAAAAAGTTCAAAAGGATAGTAAGAAAGAAATTCAGTGGCACGAGTTTTTAAAGCTCAATAAAAGCCAATATTTGAATTTCAGGGTAAGTGTGCTTAATCGTTTGTTAATAATATAGTTAATATTTTATAATATCTATGATTTAGAATGATCTACGTAATCGTGCTGCTTCTCGTTTTTCTCGTGGTGAAGCCTTATCTCGTCAATCAAAGGGGAAAGTGCGAGAAGTTATTAATGATGTAAGAATATAAAATTCATATTTATAGTAATATACTAACGCTAAAACTAATATTATTATAATATTAGTTTAAGTTAGCCAATCCAACATTTCCAATTTCGGAAGCAGATTTCGTTCTTCATGACTGGCTTACCTCATATTGCAATAGCATGGGTAAGTACTTTATAACTGCTTTTAA